AGCCGCATGTGGCTCGCGAGCCGCAGTTTGACGACTGCTGCCCTAGGTCATAGAGCTAGTAAGTGGTAGAAGCAGAACTCAAACCCAGGCTTGTGTGATTTCAAAACCTGGGCTCTTAGCATAAACCTTTGTTTTCTGAGGCTACATAGTTTGGGAATGGCCAAGCTCAGATTTGTTCCAGAGCCTTTAATCCAAGTCTCTACTAGTATATATTGCCCCATGGTGACTGGTCACCTGGGCTCTCAGATGACAGATTGCAGCTGGCATTGCATAAGGGTGTACTTGCCCAGCTTTCGCAGCAAGCCTGTGGCCAGTAGTATGGATGGCATTTCCATTCTCCCTGCAGCAGGGTCTTGTGGAGCACAGCCAAAGGGACACCCAGCACCAAATGATATTCCCACCAGCTAGCACTCCAAGCCTGACTTCATTAGGGGGTTGGCCAGCACCTGAAAAGGCCAGATGGGAATTGGCTGAGAGGGCAGAAGGAGACAGTTGGGCTCATTAAAGCGTGACCATGTGGTTCTCTCTGGAGATGCTCGGTGTCAGAACCAATTGCTCGTATTTTGCCATCCAGTTTATATTTTCTGTATTTTGGTCAGCGACCAAATGAGGGCGGAGAGGATTATTTCTGCTTAAATAATCTAATTAATTGCTTGCCTCTCTTGAGTGTGAGAGAAGTACAGCGGTTCTTCTCAACTCTATTCTGTCTACCTTTTCCTTAGGTAAAGATTTAGGAAACTTAATATCACCTATTTCTGCCAAAGGAGTCTTACTTAGTAAAATAATTAGAGAAGGTGATGCTAAATTTACCAAGTGAAAAAGTCATAAAACAACAGTTTTTTGTTTTTTATCAGACACACTGGTTAATTGGTCATGTCACTGAAAGTCTCCGAGCCTGTTTTCATGTTCAGGTCAAGAACTAGTAGCTTCCTTAAGGGTTAATTTATTCATGTATTTATTCAACAAAGATTCATTTAGTTCTTACTCTATTCCCAGCTCTATATTAAGCCCTGGATCATTGTACAGATGATAGATAATGTAGGCAAAGTGCTTAGAATAGCTTCTGATACTTTTGTGCATTTGCAAAGGATGGCTATTTTCCTTTCTTCAGATTTTGAGCTCAAAGCACTATGTAGGGCCTTGTTTCCCAACCCGAACTCTCACTTCAGCAATAAGCTATCCACATACATCCCAGGAAGCCATTGGAGAGAAGCAGAGACTGAATAAGGTGAGGAAGAAAAGATAAGCCATAGCCACTACTACCAAAGAGGGGGGTTTGCAGGGAAATCCAAGCGGCAATCAATGTGGGCCTTAGTGATGGGAAAGCAAGACTATGGTGGGGTTTCTGTGAACACCAAAAAGACTGCTGATGAGAGAAATCAATCACATAGTTGTGACATAATGTTGCAAATACACATTTGGCTAACCTGAATGTCAGTGTTAAGAGCAAGTTAATTCTTAATATTGAGGCCAGACTATTAAGATATGGTATTATCTCAGTGATTATATGCTTAAATTGGGTTCTGGTTTATTTAACTCAGGACATTTTGGATATGGGAGTACAAGGGAAGGGGTTGTTATTCGTTGTGATAAACTCAGCCCAGACTAACAGGGAATTGTACTGGCCATAAAGCTATGTACTTCTCATCCAGAACATCACGTTTTTTTTGAGAATTCCCATTGGATAAGGGAGGTGTGGACGGCCCTTGAAGGCTGTTTCTGAAACTGAGTGGATGTGCATGTCACTAAAGTTAGCTGTTAGCAGGTACTTGTTCAGGCCCTATTTCTACCACTTTCTAATGGTGTACACTTCAAGTCTCAGCTTACCCAGCCATAGAATAGGGTTGATAACACCTACATCACTGGGTTATAGTGGGGAGCAGATGAGATCATGTAAAAGTAAAGGAATTTTTCATTAATACTTATATGTTAAAACTTCAGCCACCACTTATATATATATATCATCATTATCATTGTTAATGAAACCATGCCACCTACATAAGGAGGGCTTTAAAAATTATTATTTACTAACTCTGTTGCCTGCTCAAAGAGTAATAATATACCATATCAAATATTAGGTTTGTATGCATGTGTTTGTGTCTGTCTGGCTGTTTGTTCATCCATCTGACAACATTCTTTGCAACCCTTTTAAGATTTAAGGGATAGACCATTACAAATGGCCTAATAGGGACACTTGTTAAGAAATCTGAAAAGAATGGACTTAGGGCCCTAACCAATTTGGCTCAGTGGATAGAGCATCAGCCTAGGGACTCAAGGGTACCAGGTTCAATTCTGGTCAAGGGCATGTACCTTGGTTGTGGGCACATCCCCAGTAGGGGGTGTGCAGGAGGCAGCTGATCGATGTTTCTCTCTCATCGATGTTTCTAACTCTCTATCCCTCTCCCTTCCTCTCTGTAAAAAAATCAATAAAATATATATATTTTTAAAAAAAGAATGGACTTAGGAACCACGGGGGGAAAAATTAGAATGCTGTGGCCAAACAATTTTTAGAGTAGAATACTGAGCCTAATATTATGCATGTTCAGGGCCCCCGTGAGTTTTATGGATTTATGCAGAATTTGCACAGCCTGATCAAATAACCATGTGTATTCTCTGCATGCTACAGTCATTTTGGCAACATCTATTGGACTCGTCTTTTCCATATTTAGCCTGGTTGATGCAAAGAAGCCAGGATAAAGTCAGGGCTATAACAGCGGTGTTAGAAAAATCCAAAGAAATGAATATGAATTAGCATTTGCTCTTGGATTAAAACTGAGAAAAGCTGAAGGAACTCAGAGAAGGCATTTTATCAGGGAGCATCTTTCCAGCAGCAGCTCACCTTTTCTGAAGTCTTCCTTGCTCTCCTCCCAACTCCTGAATGTTGGGTGCTCACAGAAACTCTCCGTGGAACACATTGCTTTCATATGTGAGGTTAGATTTGAAAAATTTTGTTCAGCTGTTTCCACTCAAATATTCTACTCTCACATTGAAGTAAATATATTCTGAAACTCCATTCTGTAACTATAGAAACCCTGATTCTCACTGTGTTTCAGCTGGAAGCACAAAAGAGCCCACAGTTTAAAAGGCGTATGTTGTTAATTATTAATCTATGAATAGCTTAGATTTTAGAAACCATTAAGTTTCTCTAGATTTAGGTTTTTCCTCTTTCTTTTCTTTGTCCGTTTTTGAAATAAGCTAGTCATACTTAAACAGTGTCATGTTAAAACAATGCAATGAATATTCTGTTAGTTCAACAGTTACTAATGGAGGACTTGTTATAACACATTGTGGGGTGATATGTGGGCTTGCCTTCAAAGACCATAGAGCCTTGCATGTGTAATGAGAAATAAACAGACACAGGGAAATTAGAGAAAAGCCGACACAGAGGTGCAAATAAGTGTTATTGTGGCTCAGAGAAAGAAACGATGTGACACACTGGAGAGGCAAAAAATAGGGAGATATTTAAATTTTTGCCTTTTCCTCTTTTTCAATGGCAGCCTTCAAACAAGGCACAACTCCTAACAATTTTATTTTACTGATATTCCTCAAGCCCTCTCTCTCCTCCACTTCACTATGATATCTAATCATTTCCTGCCTGGGCTATGGCAATATCTTCTCAATAGGCCTCCTGAGCCCTCTCTCTCCTCCACTTCACTATGATATCTTCTCAATAGGCCTCCTGACCCAGCAGGCGTGGCTCAGTGGTTGAGCATCAACCTATGAACCAGGAGGTCACAGTTTAATTCCTGGTCAGGACACATGCCTGGGTTGTGGACTCGATCCCTGTGTGGGGAGTGCAGGAAGAAGCCGATCAGTGACTCTCTCTCTCTCATCATTGATGTTTCTACCTCTCCCTCTCCCTTCCTCTCTGAAATCAATAAAAAGATATTTTAAAATAAATAAATAGATAAATAGGTAGATAGACCTCTTGCTTCCAGCTGTCCCTTCCCTCCTCCAGTCTTTCTTCTTCACCAGGGTCACTTACTTAAAATGCTAATCTATTCTATTACTTTCCTGATTTACATCCTCTAATCTTGAAGACTCCCCAAGGAAAAAAACCCAAGTCCTTAGTGTGGGTGAATACCCTTTACAAGGAGGCCCCACCACCAGCCTCACTTCCCCATCCTCTATGTACCATATGCCGGAATCTTCCTACCACCTTTAGCTTGCTTATAGCCTCAGCTCATGGTGTATGTTGTCTCTCCTGTCTGGGAAATTCTCCCTGAACTTTTCCTACTGACAAGTTCTTTCTCATCCTTCAAGTTCACATAAATTAACACCTCCTCCAAGAAGCCCACCTCAATGCTTTCCACTTCTCTTTATCCTTCCATGAGATATATGCTCCCACATTGCTATCAAAGGTCTAACTGCGCAGCATTATCAGTCTTTATGTTCTTTGCAGTCATGCTATTAAAATGCTTTCTCCTTGTTCCCAGCTCCTTACTTGATACATGGTAGGCCCTCAATAAGTGATTGATAAATAAATGAAATGGCAGGTAAATAATGAAGTCTGCAGAAGAATGGACAGGAGAAGGACATTGGGAAAAGGGGAAAATTCAAGATTATCTGTAACATGTTTGGTTTGGAGGTGAAGGTAGTACATTCCCCAGTGTCTTAAAGGGAAGGGAAGAAAAAAGAAAAAGAAAGGTGAAAAGGTTGGAAGAGAGGATGCACTGTGGTTTCTTTGAAATAAATTTCGATGGATTTATTCAGGCACTTAAATAACAAATACTGGTTTTTCTCCCTCTTTGTTCCAAAAACTATTACTTTCAGTACAAAAAACACAGAAATTTCAAGGGATGTGTTAGCAGCTTAAAGACATTATACCAAGACTTTCTATACTGTCTTTGTATACTTTTTACACAAAAGAACAGAAATATTTTAGAGCACATTTTATTTGAGCTGTCTGATAAGAAGAAGGGGTATCCTTCAGTTAATGAGGAACTTTAATCCTAAGTGACTGGCCATGTGATAGAGTCTTTATTTTCAATTTTCTCTAGGGTGGAAAGAAAGGAACGTGCCCGATTGAAGACTGTGAAGTTTAATGCAAAACCTGGAGTGATTGATTCAAAAGGGGTAGGTACAAAATAATCAAAACATTAAGTTCTCTCGATTGCCATGGAGTTAACTATAATTAACATTTAGTCTTTCAGTAGCAAGTAAATTATGAAGCTACCAGACAGTAGAGCACTGTTATAAATGTATTGCTAAAAGTAATGATGTGATTTCTGATGAAATTGATTTATGGTGAATATATTAAATCCTGGGGGTAAAGTTGCTAGTGGTCAGCAGAAATCATGCATTGATGAAGGTGATATAATGATTACAACGAAGAAGAGAAATATAATTTAGGTGTTTTCATTTTTAATTTGTTTTCTTTTAAATGAAATGTCTAGAGGGATGGATTTCATAAAAGATACCTGTTCATCATAAATTATGTCTAGTCTGTTACACATTATAAAGCTAAGAGTAGTGGTCATGGAAATATACATATGAATCATCTAAGTGAATACATGGATTGTTGTGACAGACATAGAAGAGAATTAACAAATGAAATTTAATCACTAAAATTAAAAGATTTACTCATATGCACATGTATCTTTTTTAATAACAGCTTTAATGAGGTCTAATTTACTACCATACAATTCACCAATTTAAGTATGTAATCCAAAGGTTTTTGGTATATTGAGAGTTATACAACCACCACCATAATTTTAGAACATCCTGTCACCCCATTAAGAGATCCTGTAGCAGTCACTTTCCATTTCCCCCAATCCCATCTCCACCCACACCCCGCCCTACTACTAATTCACTTTATCTCTATAGATTTGCCTATTCTGGACATTTCATAGAGATGGAATTATACATTATATGATCTTTTGTGCCTGCTTCTTTACATAATGTTCTCAAAGTACATCTATGTTGTAGCATGTGTAAATATTTTGGTTTTTTTCCACTGCCAAATAATATTCCACTGTGGATATACCTCAATTAACTTATTCATCAGTTGATGGATGTTTGGGTTGTTTCCACTTTTTTGGCTATTATGGATAATGCTGCTGTGAGCATTCATGGACATACATTTATTTCCATTTGGGATATACCTAGAAGTGGAGTTACTGGGTCATTTTAAGAACTGCAAGACTGTTGTCCAAGGTGCTCATACCATTTTACCATCCTACCATCAGTGTGTGAGAGTTCCAATTTCTTCACATATTCACCAGCACTTGTTATTACATATCTTTCTGCTTATAGCCACCCTATTCGGTATCTCATTATGGTTCTGATCTGCATTTCTCTAATGGCTGTTGGTATTGAGCATCTTTTCACGTGCTGATTGGCCATTTGTATTTCTTCTTTGGAGAAATACCTATTTAGATCCTTTGCCTATTTTTAAATTAGGTTCTTTTGTTGTTATTGAGTTGTAAAGTGTCCTTACATATTGTGAATATTAATCTCTTATCAAATATATGCTTTCCAAATATTGTCTCCCATTCTGTGAGTTGTCTTTCTACTCTCTTGATAGTGTTTTTTGATGAACAAAAGTTTTAATTTTGATGAATTTTATCTACTTTTTTCTTTTGTTACTTGTATTTTAGATGTCATATCTAAGAAACCATCACCTAATCCAAGGTCATGAAGATTTATGTTGATATTTTCTTCTAAGTGTTTCATAATTTTAGCTCTTACATTTAGGTATTTGACCCATTTTGAGTTAATTTTTATGATATGAGGTAGAGTTCCAATATTATTCTTTTGCAAAATCATGTCATATGTAAGAAAGAAGTTTAAACTTCCTTCTTTCCAATCTGGATGACTTTTATTTCTTGGTCATGCCTGATTGCCGTGTCTAGAACCTCTGATTGCCCTGGGTAGAAGTGGCAAGAGGAGTCATCCTTGTCTTGTTCCTGACATTAAGAGGAAGGCTTTCTGTATTTTACCATTAAGTATGATGTTAGCTGTGGGTATTACAGCTTTTAAACTCTGTTTTATATAATATTAGCATTATATTGCTATAGTATAAAATACCTTAGCTCCCTTCTCCCTATTCTCTTTCTGTTTGTCTCCTTTCCTTTATTTTTCTGTCCTGACATATCTGGTTTCTCATTGTCAAAAAGAACCATAGGTTATGGTCAGTATATGTCACTATGGAAAACAAGAAGAAAATCTATTATTTCTCAGGACTTCTGATCCCCAAACCTACACTGCCCTTTGTATTTTTAAGTAGAAGTGTAATTGTGCAGTCCTTTTATTAACATAACTTACTTTCCCCTAAAACATTCAGATGGGAATTTATTTAAACATATGATGGTGCTCTAAAAATAAGTGAAAGTATATGTCTTCATGCATGCAGTCCTTTTAAATAAATACTGCTTCTATACAAAAGGATAGGATTTTTTAATGATTCTTGGTTAAAAAAAAGGATATATTTCCTGTTTGTTTCATATATGCAGTTGGATTTATATCAAAGAATTTTTATTGAATACCTATCATGTGCCAAACACAGAGCTAGAACTTGTGAAAGATTCAAAGTGGAACATAGGCCTTTCTCCTTAAGTATATATCAATGCATAGGATATAAATTCTAGGGCTTGAATGACCACTGAAAGAGAAGCAGTGATCATGTGGAAAAGGAAACCCTAGACTGAAATTAGGAAGGTTAAGTAACCTGGGTTCTGGTTTCAGTTCATGACTAAGTCACAACTGCCCCTTGGGCCTCATTAGCAAAATAACAGCTTTGAACTACGCCAGATATGTCAGACACGTTTCACTTCCTACATAGATTGATGGATTGATAGTTTCTATCTGGAATAGTGTGTTGAAAATGATTCTGAGGCCATATATGACCTTGGCGGGGGGGGAGGGGAATTGCCATGATTGATAGTCATGACTAACACAATATTTAGAATTGTTCCCTTTTTGATGTGTCTGGATTCAATGATTTTTGAGGTGCCCACCAGCAGTAATTCTCCATGAGTCAACAAATTAAAGAAATAATGAACCAAAGTTTTCCAAACCCCCAGGAGAATAATACATCAGTAAGAAGATGCTTGTCCAGAAGGAGAAAACAAAGGACAGTTGAGAGAAAGTATACTGGCCCAGCCAGTGTGGCTCAGTGATTGAGCATCACTCCATGCACCAAGAGGTCACCAGTTCGATTCCAGGTCAGGGCACATGCCTGGGTTGCTGGTTTGATCCCTGGTGAGGGGAATGCAGGAGGCAGCCAATCGATGTTTCTATTTCTCTCTCCCTTTTCTTTCCTGCCTCTGAAAAAAAAAAATCCATAAAAAAAATATGTTTTAAAAGAGAAAGAGAAAGTGCACTGGAGAAGGAGAGACAAACTGTGTAAAGAGTTGGGAAAGTTGGGTCAGGTGATCAGGAAGTGCCACTCGCTTTGAGCCAAAGGCAAGGAGTATAGACATAAGCCATTGTTACAGAGGCTTTAGTGGCTAGTACCATAAAATAAATTTAACTTAAATGGAAGAGTGAAACTCTTTGGTATGAGAAAGAGATGGTGTTTTAAATAATCTTATCATTTGCTGGCAGTTACAGAGCATTGTGAAGTGTTGCCCAAGTTGAAAGTGAAAGCCACGGTTACTATCTTGGAGTAACTTAAAATCAATTAGTATGTGTGAAGCAGGCTGTGACAGAGCTATGAGAATTCAAATTAACGGGCTTGAGATGACCAGAGAGCACTTCATAGAAGAGCTTTGACTTTAATTGACCTACCAGTGCTTCAGTTACTTTTCCTGAACTACCATTGATTTAAAGAAAAACACAACACTAAATGCTGCAAAATACCAGGCACTGTGCTAGGTGCTGCATGGGGCAGCAAAAGAAATAAAAAGGCAAAGTCTGTCATCTCAAGGAGCTGACACAAAAAAGTTTATAGGAAAAAAATAATGAATCCAATATCACTGATTTCCCCAATAAATTTAGAGAATTAATAATCTTGATTTCAATATCAGGACACAGAGCCTCAGAGAAATTAAATAATTTACCTAAGATCACATAGCTAGTAGGTGCAAGGGTCAGGTTTAAATTCAGGTCATTTTTTAAAAATATATTTTTATGGATTTCAGAGAGGAAGGGAGAGGGAGAGAAATAGAAACAACAGTGATGAGAGAGAATCATTGATCAACTGCCTCCTGAATGCCCTTCCTCCACTCCCACTGGGGAGGGAGCCTGCAACCCAGGTATGTGCTCTGACTGGGAATTGAACCTTGACCTCCTGGTACATAGGTCAATGCTCAACCACTGAGCCACACCACAGCCAAGCTAAATCAGGTCATTTTTGACAGCAGAACATTTGTTCTTTCCATTTCTTCACACTGTACCTTATTTTGCTGGAGGACAGAAGAAGAATAGAGTTCCGATTTATGCCTTGGGTAGGAAAGAGGGCTTCAAAGAGAAGGTATCATTTGAACAAGATCTTGAAGTGTAAGAATTTGCCATGAACATGAAGGTGGAAACTGTAGGCATGTTGGAGTAAGGCCCAGCAGATCAGGGACACCAGATGGATGGTGTAGATAGTGTGGTGGGAGTTTTAACAAATGAGCTGATAAAAACTTCTGGAAGGTCAGGAAGCTTACATGGAAAGTCTAGCTATGAGCTTAAAGCGAATTGAAATTTTAGAGTATCCATGAGGAAATCTGAGGCTTTCCATTTGAAAGTATCCGTTTGGTACAAATGAAATGCCTGGAATTTTTGTCCACTCCATGTGCCTTCACAAAGTCTGTGTCTACACATGCAAAGACAAGTAGACAATTGTGTCAATAACCCAGATAATTCCAGTCTTCCCAGACACCTGAGGTCAAAGTGGTCATGTTTGGATGGGTCTCATTGAGAACCATCTCAGTTCCCCAAATCTCACTGCTAAGTTCCTAATGAGCCTCCATTCAAACCAGCCTGTGATGAAAATGTAATCACCCCCTTAATTTCCATCTTTGTTCTTCTAACTTTTTAAAATCAGTTTCCTAATCAGTCATTTTGTTACTTCTTAAGACGCGTAGGAAATTGTATAGTCTTCAGAATTGAGCTGTTTGCCATTGAAAAATCAGTATTTAGTGACTTGG